CCAAATAGGGCAGGGCGCGCCTGCGGCGGCCGCGGGGATCAACTGAGAGGCTGAGGACTTCCCTTCCTTCCCTTGCCACGGCCCCGCTTCTGCAAACTCTTTACACTCTTAACTTGGCAGCCTGGGGGTAATTTTGCTGATTGCAGAAGGCAATTGCATTAAAGCGCTAGTGGGATCAGGGTCCTTGTGTGAAGGCCTGTAGGCAGCGGATTACCCCAAACTCACCCGCAGGAACAAATCTGGCATTTTTGCGGCAAAGGAAGAAAAAAAAAAAAAGATCCTAAGTTCATCTGTTTCAGGTCTTAAAGCAGGAAGATCGCTTGTGTGCAAATTTAATTACATTTTCAAACCAAGCACTACACTGAAATGAGCTGAACCAGGACCTGTTATCCTTTAACATTTGAGGGTAAAGAGAACTCTGACATTTCAGTCCCTAAAGCTGAATCTGCATCAAAGCCAGAAAGGGTTTGCATCTGGTTAGGGACCTTTGCAAACCAAGTGCCACTCAGACTTCCAAAGAAAGGGACTGTCTTCAGCATCCCTCTTTGAAAATACGTATTTTTGCTCCGTCTCATGTGTCTCCTCTTTTATGAAAGCTGTGCGTAGGAAAGGCGGGGGTGCTAGTTCATGGCAGTGTGCGTCGAGTAGGTTTGTCCCAGGTTTATTCCTTTCTCCAGTGTTCATTCTGAACAGCACAGCTAACGTTGCTGGCAGGTCAGCAAAGAGAGACCAAAGATTGAGTGTGTTGTGAAGGAACTTCTCAGTTATCCCTATTAAGGCCTTTCAAATAAAGGTTTGGAGCCAGAAGAGCTGACTGTGGGGTCTGTCTGTTGTTACTTGGTGAAAGCAGGCCTTGCTTCTCCAGCCTGGCCAAACAAATACTGATATTGTATATTATACTGATAGAACACCGCTATATGTAGACTGTTTCTCCCTGGTATGCATGAAGGCAGCTGCACACATACCCTTTCTCCTCCAGACATTGACGTGTTGTCACCTGTGTTTCTCCAGGTGATGAGCATCCTGAGCAACCCCAGCGGGGTTCCTCCGCAACCCCAGGCTGACTTCTCCATCTCTCCCCTTCACGGTGGCTTGGACACCACCAACTCCATCTCTGCCAGCTGCAGCCAGCGGAGCGACTCCATCAAGTCCGTGGACAGCCTCCCGACTTCCCAGTCCTACTGTCCTCCCACCTACAGCACCACCAGTTACAGTGTGGACCCCGTGGCTGGCTACCAATACGGACAGTATGGACAAAGTAAGTGCACTGATTGTATTCCCCCTGCACAGGGAAAAGAAGGAGAGAGCGAGGGAATGTTAAGAAGGCATGGATATCGTATTGGAAGGGATTCCCATAGAAATCTGTCCATCTAGAGAGAAAAAGGGAATTTACTCACTAGACACAAATGGAGATTACTCTGCACAGCCTCCCCAACTCGAAAGTTGGACAGCAGTCCAACTCGAAAATCCCAGTTGAAATATATTAGGTAAAATTTCTATTAGACAAGGGCCTCTCTCCTTCCCCATCTCCAATTCTTGCTTCTCCAAAAGCCCTACAATGTGTTCACCCTGCTCAGCCAAAGGAAAGCTGGGATTTTAATGCCATCCCTTAGTGATGCAGAACTATACGTGTCGCTTCCTCCCCTGCCCTCCATAAGGTAAGGGCTGGGTCCATGCTCAGAGGTTTTGCTACAAAATATGTTAAGCCAATTCCTGGCAACTGGGCTGGGGTTCTGCAAAAGCTGAAGTGAGGCTGGAGTTGTAATCCTGAACCCAAATCTTAGACCCTACATTCAGAGAGACCCTGGGAGGGTCGGTTTCTCCTCCAGAATGGTTGGGTCACAAAAACACCAGCGAGCCTGGCAAAGGGCTCACCTGCTGGTGTTAAACTAATAATAAGTGTGGTGTTGTGAGAGAGTGATCCGTGGAGGGTTAAAGGTGCATCCTCTTCCTCCGGGAGCGCTCCTGCTTGCCCATAGCTTGTCCTCAGTGACCTTTCCTTCCATTTGGCTGAGGCTTTTTATTCCCCTCTCCGTCACAGCCCTTTAATGTCTTTAACTTCTACAGCTAAATGAGAACCGGCTGTGGTGGTAGACGGGATCAATAGCAGCTTCCCCCCACCCCTCCTTTTTTTGTTTTTCGGGAGTTTGATCTGTGACCCCTTGACCTTCCCCTCGCTTCTGGATGTGAGGCTGGACACACGTGCTATTGATAAAAATCTTAAACAAATTCCAATACCATGTATTTCCAATAAAGATTCCCTTGGGCAAGACGTTAGTCACACCCATGTGTGTAAAAAATAAAATAAGGAGGACGAGCTATGTTTTCTGAGAGAGAGAGACCAGCAAAGGAGAAGGAAAGAGAAAGAAGGGTTTGTCTTGGTTTGCTACAGGAATTTTTACTTGGGCCTCTCCTTATGGCAATGAAAAACTTCTCACACAGCCTTATTTATGTTGTTTTATTTGCCCCTCTTTCTTGATTTCTGTCGCACAGCACACTCTTTTCTGCTAGACGCCCATTAAATTTACAAGCCCAGTTTAGAGCCCACTGGGCTTGGTTCGGAACAGGAATGTTTTCCTGTTAATCGTCATGAGAGTCCAGCCTGCCAACGGGCCTGTGCCCAGCAGCAAGTCTTGCGTGCTTGACAGAGTTAGTCCAGACGTGTCCCGTGCCTAGAGACACACAGGTAGCTAGTCATGAAGGTGTTTTTCCTGCCGGGGCAAGGAAGGTAGGTGTGAAACCCTCTCACACACCATCCGCAGTGCCACTGCTTCCCAGCGCTGGGAGCTGGAGTCACACTCAGCATGACGGCAAGTCTTACAGCCAAAGCCAATGCCAAGCTGCATGGCAGATGCAACACAAACCAACTGTAGCTGTTCTAAGGTGGGGTCTATGTTAAGCAGAAAATTCTGCATGCGTGCACGTATATGTATAGATATTTGTATTTACAGCTCTGTACAGGCAGTATATAAGTCCACTTCACTATAAACCTTTCTTATAATGAGCCCCATTTATAATAATCTCTATGCGAGGAAACAGTTTTCATTGGTAATTAGTCCTGTTAGAGGAATCACTTACATGAAGTTGACCTTGATATAACAACATTTTTTCTTGTCTTTCTCGGTGCATGTCGTATTTGGCAGATACTTCTAATCCCTCCTGCTTTTTAATTCTTCACTGCTTCTTTTCAAATGCTGTTTAATTGCCGATCGGTGTGAGGTGACCTCCACAAGATCAGTATTTGTTGATGTTCAATTTAAATAATTCTTTTCTTCCTTCAACGATGCGGCAAAAAGTATCAAAACTCTTTTTAGTGAATGCTGATATAATAAAAATTGGGGTGGTTGTGGTGGGAGCAGGCTCTGTATAACAGGGGACATAACCACGGCTTGTAAATAAGAGCTCTGTAGCTTTGATAGGCTTTGGACCTGGCCTACAGAGAATCTCTCTCTCCCCCCACTTCTCCCCTCCTTATTCCCTGTTTTAGAAGCACAAAACCAGACGTACTTTCTCTCTCACATATGCAAATAAACACTCAGAGTGCTTTCAGTAAGTTTCCGGTTTTATTTTGGCTTCTGCTGTATTAAACCAACAACCCATATCTTTGACTTCAGAGGTGGGATACCATGGTGCCTCTGAACTCTTCCCACTGGCACAAAAAGCCATACTGGGAGATGAGCATGGTTTTTTTAGAAAGACGGGATTGCCATCAAATATCCATTTTGCTGGGTGCTGCCCAGAGCAGGATGACCGGCTCCGACTGTTCCTCTCCCTCCTTTCCCAAGCACCCGCCTGAATTCACCCAGAGCGCAGGTGACAACAGACACAGAGGCACAACCACACACACGCACATGCAGCATGTCCGAGGAGTGAATTTCCTCTTTACCTACAGCCTCTCAAAGACATTATTTAATGTGGTTATCTTAAATATCAGGGGACCAAGCAGATAAGGTCTGGATGAGAGCCATAGCTTGGGGTCTAATCCTATGTACACCCCCCTTGAAGCTATAACGCAACATTACAGAGCCCAGCGCTTGAGTCGAGCTTGAGTCGAGCTACTCCAGGATCCAGTCCCTGAGGAGCACCAGCCAGTGTGCCAGCTCTGCTTTAACTGAGCTGCTTTCAGACTCTGCCACCTGCAGAAGCCGTGCTCCCCAGCAGACCTCGCTTCGGCCCCGGATAACTCACCCTGTGCCGAGCCTGCTCGCTTCCAGCGTCCAGCCTGCCAGCGCTTGCACAGCCTGTGCTGTCCCAGCCGGCGAGGAGCAGAGACGCCAGATTAATGTGGTCCTTGCGGTTCCCAAAGGCCGGAGTTGTGTTAATGATGCCGGTGATGGAACGCAGAAGCGTGAAAGGAATTCTAATAGATATGACAAGTCTAATAAGAATTTGTGTCTGGAAGGGACCTCCTCTGGGGCAAGCGTCTGACAAGACGTTGATGGCTGAAATTTGTTTACTCATTGGCACCGATTGTACATCTCCTGCCAGCTCCTTATTAATCTAATTTGAGACATTAAAGCTAGTGAAAGGGAGAGACTTTGACTGAAGCTCAGCTAATGAGCAATGTCACCATCCTGCCCCAGCCCTCTTCCCCCTCAGACCATGGGGCAGTCAGGCGAGCTGGGATAGAGGTTCACGCATCGCCTCAGGAGTTGTGGCTGCGTTTCCCACCCAGATGGAGATAAGCAAAGCGGTTTCCCTTAGGAAGGGTGGATGAAGGCAGGCAGCAGAGCTCACAGAGATGAGTCAGCACACGGCGGATGAGTCGGATTCAAGCCCTGTCCAGATGTGGTGAGCTTCCGCTGAAATCTCTGCAATCATTTACACCAGCATCACTGGGTGCAGGATAGCGCACGTGAGATGATACAGGGAGGTGAGGCAGGAAGGCTTACCCCACTGGCTTTGTGCTCAGGCTTGTCTTCAGGCAGCTCCTCTGGAATCACCGTTTTCATGGCAGAAGTAGAATTTTAGCTCTTTTCAGTAGATTCATGGAGAGATTCAAGGGACTGCACTCTGCACTCCACAGCTGTGCTTAACCCCAGCAGAGTCTCTCCTGTCAGGCGATTCTGGCAGGACCATCATCTGTTTGCAGTCTTTCGTAGGAGTGCAGCAGGGCTCTCGTGTCTGTGACAACCACTGCATTACTCTTTGTAAGAGTCAGTCTGCAGGGTCTGTTGGTTACACGCCCTTTGATGCCGAATGCCTAATTTCCGCTAAATGCTAACCCTCCTGTTGTGCTGTTTTCTCACCCTCCTGTTTTTTTCCCCTCCTCTTCAGCTGCTGTTGATTATTTGGCCAAGAACGTGAGTCTGTCTACACAGCGTAGGATGAAGCTGGGAGAACATTCAGCCGTTCTGGGCCTCCTACCAGTAGAGACAGGCCAAGCTTACTGAAGAGTCCGACTGTGCCAACAACCCACTCCAGCAACTTGGTACCACTGGAGAAAACACCACCAGCCTTCCAGGGATCTACGTGTACCCGGACCCTACTCCTTCCCAATTCCCTTCCACCTCGCACCAACTTGAGCTGTGAAGGAGACGGGAAAGAGGGGGAGGGCTCTCCAAGTATCCAGCTCCTCCCAGAGCACACTTCTCAGAGGCAAGCCTGGCCTCTGTGACCTGACTCCCCCTGTGGCCAGAGACAATGTTGGGTACATTTATTAACCCTGAGTTCATGCCCTCCCTCTAACCTACCTGGCCATGGCATTTTGCCCATATGTAAGGACTTTCCATTGATCTAGGTAGTTGGCATAGTCCAAGCCAAATTGATCTCTTTTCCTTTGTAAAAAAAGAAATGTTTCGTTTTGTTTCCTTTTCTTTCCATTGCTGTAAATTTGGTGAATGTTGTATAGGAAGGAATAACCAAGCTGATCGTTAAGGGTGATCTAATTCGGGACCACAGAAGACCTATGGACCAAATACAGGAACTTGTTTTAAAAAAAAACCCACCACGAAGACAAACAAAACCAGAAAAAACATATATTAAAATGACAGCAAATTTCCCCACCCCACTCTACCCTTCCGTTCTCACTGATGGTTTCCCAAAGCAGGGCCAAAGCAGGCCAGATTGCTGCTAAGCAGGGGCAGGATGTAAGTCCGTCCAGCCTGGGACCTTTGGAAAGTGTAAATGTAATTTGCTGCATGAGGACTGGAGATTATTATGGGCACAGGCACGAGCAACATTTACTTTTCCTCGTAGGGACCAATTTAGACCTGATTATTGCTGAAAAGACACGGGCATCAGATAGCAGCAGGAGATGCGATAGCCAACTCTGGCCTTGCACGCACAAAGGAAGGGCATCAGATACACTCAATCGCGTCGGAGCTTTTGCCCATCCAGTCGAGAAGGGCGAGAACTGTCCCTGGCCCTTCTTTCACCCAGCGAGAGAGAAGCTGGCCATGAGAGCAAAGACAAGAGAGGGAAGAGTCAGAGTTGTTCGTTAGCTGCCTGCTTGGAGGGGTCAGTATGCAAAGCCAGGTTCTTAGACAAGTGAAGGGCCACCTGAAAGAAAATGGTGCATGTTCTGAAGGTGCTTTCCCACAACTGCCTCTCACTGAGGGCTGGATGTGGCCATGGAGTCAGAGGGGAGATGACCTGCGGAATCTTTCTAACAGCAGCTAGGAAGGAAAGGTGCTCTCAGTTGCAACGTTGCACCTATTCATACTGCAGGAAAAGGTTTACCTTACCAACGGCGTTCTTTATCCTCTAGCTACCAGGAGAAATGCTCGCCCCTGTCCATCCTCCTGGTTCTTCCACCGTTCCTCTCATTTCATGCACTGTTCTGTACAATTCTCAGTCCCTTCCCTCTGCTTTTCATTTTGGGGGTGGAGCCTCTCCAAGCCAGATCTAGTTTTCTGGATTTATCACCCTGCTTTTCTGTAGCAGCCAATGCTCTCGCTTTTGTATCGGCTCATGATTCTGCTCATCACACTGCTCAGATAAAAGCAGCCAACAATAATAAGAGGTTATTGCTAAGTCATGACCCACATGGGGTTTTAAGTAGTTTCCCTTTTGCATATGGTGATGATCCTTGATGATTCTTAAGCAAGTGTCTAATATTATAGACTTTTTTCCCGTCACCTTTTCCCGTCACCTCTGTTGAGAGGGCTGACTTCAAGAATGTGCTGAAATTTGGCTTGGAGGAGTCAAGGAAAGCTGCCCCTGAGATAACCACCCTGATGCCCAGACTGTGCCAGCCAGTAGCTGCTGTGTAAAGTTCAATGGCAACAGGCAGTACTTAAAGTCATCTACAGACTGTTAGGTTTTATAACACACTATTTTATAAGTCTGCTTTGGCATAACGAATGTCTGCTTTTGTCCACTGGCAATAACGAGAGACCGCGTGGCTGGATGAGTTCTAGTCCAGCATATGCTCCTAGATTGTAAAAGGAGACACTTCTCCCGTGCTCTCTTCTGTTGCTCCTGCTGCTTCCATTCTTCTTAAATAATCTGATCTTGTTTTTGCAGCTGAAACAACATTTTTCTGGGGAACTATCCCCTGCCTTGCCCCAGCATCATTTATCATGAGCCACTAAGCCACTTTCTCTTGAGCCATGTGGACAAGTACCTGTTCTGACCAAAGCAGAGTTTTGCTTCTTACGTTGCTCAGCATCCTATCAGAGACACATATGGCTTTCATCAGCTTTGCTTTACGGCTGTGACAGAGCCTGCCCTACATTCCTAAAAGCACATTAATACACCAGCTTGGCTACTCTGCCTCTCACACGCATGTTTCTGTGCAGAAGCTCTGTGCGGTGCGACATCTGCATCCAGAGGCTGTTTTGCTTGCTCCAGAGATCCCCATTCAGCCTCTGCTTGTCCAGCTGTGTCACATGTAAAGCTTCCTTCTACTTGTGAAAGACTTTCCTTGGATCACAAAGCTTTTGAAGTGCTTGAAGCTTGCATTCTTCGCATCCTTTCTCAGGGCACTATATAGCACCTACAGCTGGATACAGGTGAGGCCAAAGGTACCGATTTCCTTGAAGTGACTGAAGACCCAAAATGCCTTGGACCGGTTGCATTATCTGAAGCACTCTCTGGGCTTTGCGCCAGTTTGAGATCTCAGAAAGCAACAAAAGACGCTGGTTTATGTTGTTTACACGTTACAGCGGGTCTAAGGAAGATCAGGAATTCCCTTTTGAATTCCAGTCCTGGCTTAAATGTCGTTCCCAATAATAGTAACCTTCAGCCACACCTGAACTGAGGGATCAAGGGTGAGAGCAAGGGTGTCTCCAAGATAGACACCAGCGTGGGGATAAATGACTGAAGCACCTGTTTGAATTTGCTCCTGTGTCTCAGTATCATTCTGAGCTGACTGCTAAAACAACAGAGCACGTGATTTTCTTGTGTGCCACGTTTAGTAGTATTTTAGAGGCCAAATGCCAATGATCACCCCATCTGGGAGCATCTTCAAATCTACATTGTCCTTGCCACTGGAAGATGGAGTTTGTAGAAGGTGATTGTTGGCCCCGTATCTTCCCCAGACAGTTGCAATCCCTTGTTCTTTATACTGAAATTTCTGACCAAATGCATTCCTAGCTGCCTGCTAAACTAGAAGGAAAGTTTCAGTTTGTCATGAGAATTGCTTGTCCGCTGCTTGCAAAGACCTGTCAGCTCTCTTCTCCAGCCGTATCTATTCTCCTGTGCATCCATACACATCTCCCAAGCACCCCTCAACAGTGGAGAGTTGGTCCTCGCCGCGAGCGTGTTGTCAAGAACTTCAGCTGCGCTCAGCGCAGAGTGCAGGACCCCGACAGTAAAAAGTATTAAAAAGAGGGAGCACTGTAGAAACCTATTTGCCAATTACCTTCACCAGAAAGTCCGTGAACACCCGGGCACTGCTGTAAATAGACTTCTTAGAGGAATATGAAAAACGCCCCATGCTAGCGCAAATAGCTATTCTCTGACCTTTCCCTCGTGGTCGCACTTTGTACATTAGTTGGAAATTTGGTCATGTGCTGTATGTTTATAGAGAGTTGACATTTTTTTATACTAAAAACACAGTGAGTGCCGTGCTAGTTAAAAAAAAAAAAAAAGGGGGAGGGGGGATGAACTGTAGAAATTTGCCTATCGTGTGTTTTCAAAATACATTCCACAATCTTTGGGGTGGGATGGGTTTGATTTGGAGATTTTTTTGGTTTCTTTGTTTTGTTTTAAGGTATGTTCATGTATGAAAGTCCAAGGTTTTTTTGTTTGTTTTGTTTTATGGATTGCCAACCTCAGTTCTGCTGAAAAGAGACAAATGCAGGGGGTGAGGTGGGACGGGGAAGGGGGAACAGAACAGATGGAGGTGCCTTGACGGCAAAAAAAAAACGAGCATGGAAGAGTAGCAATTGGCAGCAGACAAGCATTGGACAGCGGGACCCTGAAGAACGTGCGGTCGTGGTCGCTCGAAGCAGACCAAACAGGGACTGTGCAGATACTGAACTATTGGTGACTCTGAGGGTGCCTGGGAATCAAAAAATCGTTCTGCACCTCATCCAAACCAACCACCAAGCGAAGGGACATGCTCCAGAGACGTTCTCTCAGGTTGATGTTTCTTCCATGCCAGCTGATGAGAACTGCCACCCTTGGGGGAAAGGAAAAGCGTTGAGTGGATTTCTTTTACCTCCCCACGGCCCTCCTGTGCCCCTGCCTTCACCTCTCAGCGCCGTCCTGAGACCACAAGATGGACATTCCTTCACTGTGTCCAGTAACTCAGCAGATTGGCTCCTGTCGCTCAGAGACTTTGTGTATTTAATGCTTCTAACGCGTCATCCCTAACACCTCCATATACCCACCCGGGGAATATCTACATAGCACTATAGGACATTCCTTATTCCTAGTAACTGCGGATATGTTGCTTCTGTGTTTGACTCATAGCCATTTTGCTCCATGTGTATGCCTGCGTGTGAGTATGTGTGCGTGCGCGTGTGTGCCTGCGTGCGTGTGTATATATATAATCGCACCATAATTTATTCAGCTATATGGAGTAGTATAGTAGAAAGAGAAACTGGTATTTGCTTTAACTACCTGCTGCCTGTAGGTGTCTCTCTGTAACTCAGGCATAACTGTTATACATTAAAAAAAAAAGGATTAAAAGTGTCTTTGGGTGGCTTGTTTGCGTAACTTGCTCTGCAGTGTGCCAAGCACAAGGGGAAAAGCTGGTAAATCAAAAATATTCACACACACATACAAACTACAGATGTTTTTGCTAAAAAGCAAAATCGTCTGCTTCATTCATTAATGAAAACATGGAAAAGCTATGTAAATAAATAAAACATTTAATTTCACTGTGACTTTTCACAGGGGAAGAACAATTACCTGGCCTGTTCTAAACACAACCATTTCTTTATGCATTCATTTTCAGCACGCTATTGCACGGGCCGAGGAAGGCAGGCTGCGCAGGCCAGGGTGGGACCGGGCTGCCGTGTTAACTCCAAGCTCTGCAGGCACCTGGCTTTCGTTAAAGGCCAAAGCACAGCATCAACGAGCGGAAAAATATTTTGAAACTCTACGGAGGATACATGGCTCGGGGCTTCGGCAATCGGTAATAAAGCGTTTTGCTTTTAAACAAAGCACTGAATTCAGAAGCCGTTCCCATCTGAAGACGTTTTGGCTCTCTGTAAAATAAGTTGATCTTCATCCAAGTCATGCTGGACGAATATCCGCACACAGAAACTAGCCTAATTAGTTGCTGGGGTTTTTTTAATGGTTGCCTCTCAGCAGAGGGATCAGTCCACGGGAGCTAACCAGCTTCCCAAACCCAGATGAAATCACAGTTAGGTAAGACGTAGCAACTGTA